GTATCGGGAATCGAACTTAGGACCTTGCACTTGCCAGGCAGTTGCTTATGCCACTGAGCTATCTCCCTAGCCCTTTTTTTTTCTTTTTCTTTTGTTTTAAAAATGTACTTCAGGCTAGCCTCAAACTCCATGCAATTCTACTCCCTCCACCTCCTACTTGCTTGGATTATATGTGTTTGCCCCATTCCTTTCTACACACTGTTCAAATCCTTTTTTTTTTTTGTTATTTTCCAGTACCTGGTATCGAACTCATGACCTTGCGCTTGCCAGGCAGGTGCTGTGCCACTGAGCTAAATCCCCAGCCCCTCAAATCCTTTTATATACATTGCCTGGTTTAGTTCTTGCAGTAGCTATAATGTTTCCCATATAATAGATGATAAAACTAAGACACTGATATTAATTTGTAAGGTCATACAGTTAGTTAAGGGTTATGGATGGGCCATGGATTTAGGCAGTCTGGCTCAAGGGATCATGCTTTTTTATCTTGATGCTGTTCTGTGATCTTTTTCATATAATTTGGTCCCTGGATTACATACTAAGTAGCAAACTGATGTCATTTAGAATATGCATTATATATATAGGTGAAGCAGTGTAACATTACTTTCATGCATTGTTGGTATTAACTGGCAAATATTAGATGCTAAAGTTTTAGGTGTTTTTCTGTTTGTAGAGGTAAGAAGTATGGAGAGACAGCTAATGAGTGTGGAGAAGCCTTCTTTTTCTATGGGAAATCACTTTTGGAGTTGGCAAGGTATGTCTTTTAAGCCTTACTGTATAAGTAAATGTTTGGTTTATAAATAGAATGTTTTATCTCCCTTGGTGTATTTACAAACTGAAGTTGGCTGTGTTTACTAGCTTTGACATTTCACAACAGGTAAGGGCTGGTTTTACCTAGAAAGTGGGTTTTGAGAATGCATGAATTACTGATAGAAGTTGTGAATGACACTTGATGCAAAGAATAAAAATATTGAAGTTTTTACTTTTGGGGTTATTAGAAGCAAAAATCTTTTTATTAGTGGATGGTCAGTAATTGATCAAAGTTCAGTATGGGGAAGTGAACCCTTAAAAGTGTTGCAGCTAGCGCAAAGCAGTGACTTTGAACAAGGACTAGAGGACAGTTTCAAATAAATAGCATGTGAGCTTGTCTAGCAAATAATACAAGTAGTCTTGTTATTTAAAGTACCTATATATTATCCAACAGAATAAAGTATGTTGAGGGAGTACAAACTAGCAAATGATCTGTTATCCGTTTACTCTCTGTTCTAAGTTTCTAACCTTGTAATCATTTGGAACATGTAGTTAACTTACTGTGAAAATTGTGGTAGAATGTTATTGGGTCTCTAGAGAAGTGGGTTTAAATGCAAAGTTTGGAGTATTATGGCCCTGTTGTGAAAGGAATGAATACAGATTTTAGTCTTTTGGAAAGAGTCAGTGCTTTTCAGGTGGCTGGATGAGCAGTGTGCTTATTTCCTTCAGTGTTCCTATAGGCTTAACTTTTATTAGAAGCTTTGATTTGATAATTGCTTTCTTGTACAAGTATGTGTAGTTTTATTCATTTAGTTTATCTGTTTTTGGTACTAGGTATTGAACCCAGGGTGTTCTTATCACTGAGCTACACCTTTAGCCTGCATTCATTCATTCCTTTATTTGAGACAGGGTTTTGCTATAGCCCAGGATGGCCTTGAACTCTCAGCAATCCTCTTGCCTCAATCTCTGGAATGCTGGGATTACAGGTGTGAGCCACCACACCCAGCCTAATTTTTTACTTTGACACAAGAGTCTCTTTTAAGTCAGTAAGTTGTCCAGGCTGGGCTTGTACTTGTGATCCTCTTGGTTAGCTAGAGGAGCTGGGATGATAGGTGTCTCACATCACACATAGCTTGCATGGTTTTATATTATCTGGTTACTCTTTTTTATGGTACATTTCCTGCTTGATAATACATTAGTAGGTTCTAGACCTTAATGTCTCTGGTGCTTTTTCTTTTTATATAGAATGGAGAACGGGGTGTTGGGAAATGCCTTGGAAGGTGTGCATGTGGAAGAGGAAGAAGGAGAAAAAACAGAAGATGAAGCGCTAGTAGAAAATAATGATAACATAGATGGTATGTGGAGTTGCATGTGTTACTTAAACATGCGACGGATGCTTCTTGTACAGAGTGATGGAAATAGGGCTCTCCCTGTCCTGGCTGGTCTCTCCAGATGCTGTGGGTGATGGCTGCATCTAGTATAGACCGCAGTGGGGGTAGCCCATTACTAAAAGTGAACATAGGCTTTTGTAAAAGATAAATTTAGTCAAGGAATTTTTCTGATGCAATTTTTTTAACCAGTTTATGAAGCTCAGTTATGTTAATGGTAGTACTTTTGGCGCACTTTTTTGTGTCTAAGAAAATTAATTTCTAAGCTGAGATGGCTTCAAGAGTTTTATAAACCAGATAGGGGCCTGTAATGTTTAAAGGAGAATGAAAAGCTTGGTATCTCTTACCTAACTGGTAATCACAGTGCTCAGAGTGACATGATACCTAGCTTAAGGAGCTTGGGTTTCTTTTGCAGTAAGTTGCTCTGCTAGCTGGGACTCTTCCTTTGCTCTTCTCACGGGGGCAGGTAATTTTTAGGTCATCTGCTAAAACTTAAAGCCAGGGCATTTGAGGGTTTAAAGGGAATGTATTTTTAGTTTCCATATATGCTTTTATCATTAAACTCGAAGACATGTTTATGCTTCATGTTCTTTAACCATGTAGAGGAAGCAAGGGAAGAGTTGAGAGAACAGGTTTATGACGCCATGGGAGAAAAAGAAGCCGCCAAAAAAACAGAAGGCAATTCTCTGGCAAAGCCTGAAACCCATTTGGAACAGAAGAGTGAAATTGAGAAGGGTGGAAGAGAAGATATGGATATAAGTGAGCCTACAGAGAAGCTACAGGAAACAGTTAAATTGACTCCAAATCAACCAACTGAAACCCGTGAAGAGGCAAAAGCAACAGGACCAGAAGGACTGGAAGAAGCTGAGGTCACTACCGGGAAGCCAGAACAGAAAGCACCAGACACGCAGGAAAGAAATCCAGTTTTTGGAACTGACATCCAAAAAGAATGTAGAGAAAAAGGTCAGGAGGAGCAGGAAGAGGTAACTGTGAGCACAAAGGAGAAGCCCGAAGAAGATTCTGAAGAGCAGCACACTGCGCTTGTGGAAAAGCAGGGCACTGCCTCGGAGGTAGAGGCGGAGCCTGTGGAGCCCACAGTCAAGCCAGTGGATGTGGGTGGGGATGAGCCTGAGGGACAGGTAGTTGCGTCTGAAAATGAGCCAGGAAAGGCTTTGCTGGAGCAACTGGCAGGACAAGAAGTGCTTTCTTTCCAAGAGTCACCAGTGATGACAACAGAGGCCACGGAGGCCTTAGCTCCAGAGTCTGGGTCGGAAGTCTCTGAAAAGCCAGAACAGGAACCCACAGTTCTCCCTCAGGAAGGCCTAGGCAGTGGACCATCAGCTGTAGGAGATCAGACTCCTGTTGAACCACAGACTTCTGCAGAAACGAAAGGTGACTCAGGTCTAGAGAAGGTCAGGGCAGAGTTAGTGCCTAGCCAGGAGGAGATTAAGCTGCCTGTAGAAGAGTCTCAGGCAGCTGGAGATGGGGTTGAAACCAAAGTAGTCCAGAGGGCTACTGAGAAAGCACCTGACGACAAAGTTAAGATAGCTGCTAATGAAGAGACCCAAGAGAGAGAAGAACAGATGAAAGAGGGTGAAGGTAACCGGGATATGCAAGAGCTACAGTGGGTGGAGTACATTCTGGATTTTGACTCACTAATCATGGGTAAAAGTCAGCCTTCCATTCAGGATTTTCCGTCTGCCTTTGGATTAGGAAAGGGTAAATGGAAATGGGGGTGATTTAAAAAGGTTGTGATATAAGTTAAACAATTTAAAGCAGAAGCAGAAAATGTTCTTTAGCTGGCTTATAAACTAACGCTTTTACTAACTGCAAAGTAGGTCTTCTCTGTGATGTTCCATACTTGGCTAGCTATCAGTAATTTTTACCACACTAGCCAATAAAGGGATGGAAAAGGTGGATGAGAAGGGCTGGGATAGGTAAGGAAATAGTGGGCTAGGCTGGCAGAGAATGCTGAATGGATGTTCACTTGCATGCCTCTGGAGTTTTAAACTTACTGTTTACATGGTTTCTCCTGTGCTTTAGGAAGCAAGAACAAAGCAGTAGAATCCAGTGAATTGGTACACTTAAGCAGGCATGCCATTTCAATGAAGGCATTTAACTTTGGATCTTCTGTCACCAGCGTTAAAGAATTCTGGTGTCCTTTCTACTTTTAGTGTTCGGGAAATGTTTAGAGGCTTGTTCCCAGTAGTTAAAATAGCACCTCTTTGCAAAAGAGAAAAGAAAAACTTAGTCATGAGTCTTTCTGCTGCTTTCCCTCCTCATTTCATGCTTGCTTTGGCTGCTAAGCTGAAATTTTTGGTACTTGGAATGTTATAAAGTGTAGATGCTTTGTTTTATTTCTCTAAATGTGATCCAATTCAAGATACATAAGCCTCTAATTAGTAATTGGCACGTCTGACTTGAGTTGTGCTATCATTTGAAGATTCTACTGTATGTAAGGTTCATCTAACTTTGGCATTAATAACAGGTATATTCCAGTTGTTATTATTCTTTGTAATTGCCAGACCACTTAAGAGTCCTCTTTAAGTAAAGTTTTTCAAAGATTCATCTTTGATGTGTGAAGGTTGTGGTAAATGACTTCTCTATCTGGGCAGGTCCCTGCACTCCAGCCAGTACAGGCGTAGTAGTCAGAAGTGAATTAGCAAACTGGTAGCACTGTTGGTCTGTTTCTTGAGCTATAAAAATTCTTTGAGGACAGAGTGCTCACAAGTTGATTTATTTGTTTGTTTATTTATTTTTGGGGGTGGGTGCTAAGGGTTGAAACTAGGACCTCATCACATAGCTACACCCCTTGCCCTTGATGTGCATCTTTCTTTATTTACAGTACTAGGGATTGAACTCTCTGCACAGAACTGTATCTCTGACCCCTTTTATTTTTACACAGGGTCTTGCTAAGTCACTGAGTTTCTTCCCAGGATGGTATCAAACTTCTAGTCCTTTTGCCTTAGCCTCCCAGAGTGCTAAGATTGGTAATAAGCAGGCCCAGCGTTTTTTTTTTTTTTTTTTTTTTTTTTTTTTGAGACAGGGTCTCGCTGTGTAGTTCAGGCTGAACTTGAGCTCACTTATGTACCCCAGGCAGGCCTCAAACTCCCAGCACTCCTGCCTCAGCCTCCCAAGTACTGGGATTACAGGTGTGCACCAGCATACCTGGCTCCAGCTCTTAATCTTAATAATGAACAAGGGCTTTAAAATCTCCGCTGATTCTCTTTAAGTTGGATTTTGATAAGGTACAGTAGATATGTTGTGTATTTCTGTGTATTACTTTGAGTTCTAAAACAGTACCTTTTTTTTGGTGCCAGTAATCAAACTCAGGACCTTGTGCTTGCAAGGTAGGCACTATGCCACTGAGCTATATATATCCCCAGCCCCAAAACAATACTTGTGTAAGGGTATGTAACACAATACTTACATAGGTATAAAACAATGTAGGTGAGTACTTATAGTGAAGAAGTTGAGGCGTAAAGGTCATATGACCCTAACCATAGTGCTAAATCTGGTCTTCAGTCTGCTTTAAATATATTGTTCTTCCCAGGCTAACTTACATTAAGGAAGGCATCTTTCCTTTTTTTTAATTTTTTTTTTTGAGACAAGGTCTCTCTATGCAGTTCCGGCTGGCCTTGTAGCTAGCCCAGGCTGGTCTCAAACTTGGGATAGTCCTCCTGCTTCAACCCTCCCGAGTGCTGGAATTACAGGCATGTGCCACCTCACCTGGCTTAAAATAAAAAAAAATTTATTTTTTTGTACCAGGAATGAAACTCAGAACCTTGCGCTTGCCAGGCAGGTGCTTGTGCCACTGAGCTGGATCCCTGGCACCTAAAATAAAAATTTTAAAATGGGCTTTAATGTGGTTTAGTGAAGAGGCCCTAGCTTCAACCTTCTGTACTGGGGGAAAAAAAAAAAAAGGTTGCGCTATCATTGAGTATGGAGTACTTTATTAGCCTATCTATATCAATAGTTGAAATAATGGCGTTAAATATGGCCACAGATTTAAATGGAATCATCAGATTCTCTATATGCTGTAGCTGGCTGGAGGCTGTGGCATGCTCATTGGGAGATTGGTAAGGACTCCCACAGCTCTGTTGTGGGAAAGCTAGTGTTTTTTTCTGAATAGACTGGGATAATTTAACCTTGGCACTTTGGCACTTTCCAGACCTGTAGTGTTTAATGAGTGGCATCTAAAAGCAGTAGAAACACTGTCCAAGGTAGCTTACCTGCTTTTGGCTAAGTGGATATGAGCTTTTCGTCAATGACTTAAGAGGCAGCAGCTAATCAGTCTCACTCTGAATATGTTAACTTTTATAAGAAAAACACTTAGTGTTTTAAAAAAGGCAAAAGATTTATATGCTAAGAAAAACCGGAGTATTTGCTCAACCTTTTAATTGCTGATCTGATGCGTAGGTTGTAGATTCTAAATTAAGATAAAATTTTGAATTTGAATGTAACCATTGTCTTTTTATTCAGATCAGATATTAAGTGACTTGGATTAGCTGGTAGCTGTTTTGTATCAGAATGAAGGATAGCATGTATTTATTGGAATCTTTTGAGCAGGCCCTTAGCTAATTTTCAATTCTGTGGAATTTTTGCTTGTAGAAACTGAAGGCTCAGAAGAGGAGGATAAAGAAAATGACAAGGCTGAAGAAATGCCAAATGAATCCATTCTTGAAAACAAGGCGAGTTACTATTTGTTTTTTTGTTTTTTGTTTTTCTCCGGTACCGGGAACCGAACTCACGACCTTGCGCTTGCCAGGCAGGCGCTTTTGCCGCTGAGCTAAATCCCCAGCCCCCTAGTTACTATTTGTTGAGTATTCTTGTCTGCTTGTGTCATTGTAGGACTGCAGCTTGGTAGTATAGGAATGGGTTTTGTAGACAGCTGGTTCTTGGTTAGATATTGGGACCCTTTATTCATGTTCACAGTAGACAGATCCCAGAGGGTCATGTCTGTGAGGACAGAACTCAACATACCAGGACCTGTTTTACACTGATGAACAATAATGTTCCATCAGGCCTTATAACACTGTCCATTTAGATTTTTACTCTAAAATTATGTCTGTCTTGTAATTCTGCCTAATACCAATAATTTGGATATGCTTTAGTCTCTTCAAGAAAGTGAAGAGGAGGACATTGGGAACCTAGAGCTTGCCTGGGATATGCTGGATTTAGCAAAGATCATTTTTAAAAGGTAAAAAATTCTGTGCTGCTAACTTCAGATTGAGAGATTGGTGACTGAACATTGAAAGCAGTTAGGGTTGGACTAATGTCATTTCTGATCAACTTCCTTCCTTCCTTCCAGGCAAGAAACAAAAGCAGCACAGCTTTATGCTGCACAGGCACACCTTAAACTTGGAGAAGTTAGTGTTGAATCTGGTAATGCTTTTTCCATCTTGTTCTTCAGCCTCCCTTACACCCCTTTTCTCCCTTGTAAGAGATTTTCTAGCGTCCACCTTTATTGGTCATAGTTAGGTGGTTGGCTTTAATACAGTCATATGTTTGACTTCTTCATGGTCCTAGAACGGTGAACAGTGATAATCTGAGTCTCAGTGGGTGTTCTTGATGCTGGGGATCAAAGCCAGGGCCTTGTACATACATGCTTCAGCATACTCTGCCACTGAGGTATACCTGCAGCCCTTTGTGTAGTTTTTTTTTTTTTTTTTTTAAGATCCCTTTGTCATTCTGTATAGCCAAGCATCCTGTAGATACTAAAAACAAAAAAATGGTGGAAGCATTTCTACAGAATGGGTTTGAATTGTAGAAATAGTTAAATGCTACCCAATACTTGCTGTTGATTCTGTCTTTGCTAGAGAACTACGTCCAGGCTGTGGAAGAGTTCCAGGCCTGCCTTACCCTGCAGGAGCAGTACTTGGAAGCCCACGACCGTCTCCTTGCCGAGACTCACTACCAGCTGGGCTTGGCCTATGGATACAACTCTCAGTATGATGAGGCAGTGGCACAGTTCAGCAAATCTATTGAAGTCATCGAGAAGAGAATGGGTGAGTGAGCAGCAGCGCTTCCTGATAATGTTGATCCAGTAATGGAAAAGGTTAAAAATGGATACTTTGTGGTAATTGTTACTGATCACTTTAGCCTGTTCTTTGTAGCTGTGCTAAAGGAACAGATGAAGGAGGCTGAAGGGTCACCTACTGAATATGAAAAAGAAATTGAGGAATTGAAGGAGCTGCTACCCGAAATCAGAGAAAAGATAGAAGATGCAAAGGAGTCCCAGCGTAGTGGGAACGTAGCTGAATTGGCGCTGAAAGCTACTCTGGTTCGTTCAAAAGCATCATATTTGGTACCATTCATTTTTTTTTTTTTTTGGTACTGGGAATCAAACTCGGGACCTTGTGCTTGCCAGGCAGGCGCTTGTGCTGCTGAGCTATATCCCTGGTGTACCATCAATGTTAATGCTCCATTTGCTTTAAGAATTTTTTTTCTTTAACAAGAAAATAGTTTCACTTTTATTTTTCCATGTTATTCTCACGTACATTTACAATAATGTTGTACTTCCTTATATTAATTTTTTATGTACTGTATCTCAGGCATTTTACAATGTGTACAGAGAAGAGGCATACAGTATTCAATACTACCTAACAACTTCCATCGGGACTTAAGTTTGAGTGTTGATCAGAGGTTATGGGGGCGTTTATCTCACTGGTCTACCAAAACAGTACAATGGTAGTAGACAGTGGGCTCTAGAGCTAGACTGGATTTGAATTCCATCCGTGCTACAAGGTGTGTGACCATGGGCATTCAGCTCTACCCAGATGAAATAGAGATGATAGTATAATATGTAAATTACCTTACACAGTACCAGACAAATAGTAATTGTTTGATAAATATAAGCTATTGTTTCTGTCTGAGGATAGTACTGTGTAGATTAGTGCTGCACTGAGGACTGACCCCAGGTGGCCAGCTGGGGCTGCCAGGATGTCAGGAAACCTTTTGTTTTGTAAGGAGGACGTGGAAGATTGGGTGGCCTGGGTCCTATGTAGGTTGGGATTTGCTTTGATTTGTCATCTCTCATAGGTGGAGAGTTCTACCTCAGGTTTCAATCCTAGTGGAGGCAGCTCTTCAGTATCCATGGTGAGTATTGAGGGTTATTTTTGTCATTTAATGTTAGACTTCACTGCTAGTTTCATATCCTTGTAGACTGCTAACAAAGGCTCCTTCTTTTGCTAGATTGCCAGTAGAAGAACAGATGGTGCTTCCTCATCTAATTGTGTGACTGATATTTCCCACCTTGTCAGAAAGAAGGTAAAACCTACACATGGTGGTTCTTTTCTTTCCCTTGATCTGCCTTTGTTTTGGGTTTTGAGTTTTTTTTTTTTTTTTTGGTACCAGAAATCAAACTCGGGACCTCGCGCTTGCCAGACAGGCACTTGTGCCACTGAGCTATATCCCCAGCCCAATCTGCTTTTTTGGGTCTCAAACAATACATAAATAATACCTGTCTTACAAACCCTCCTAGCGGTGAGACAAGATAATGAAGGTTTGGGAAGGAAGATGGTACTTCAACTAAGGATTCATCAGATGGGTGCATTTTTTTCTTTAGCCATATTCATGTAGCAGCAGGCCTGCTGATCCTTAAACTCCTTTGAGTCTCTACCTTCCTCCCATAGTTCTGTGGTTATTTCCTTTTGGGGAAACCCATACTTCTGCCTCAGATGTTTCACACTTTGTCACTGCTCAGTTCTACTTCTTACCCTCCCCCACTATGCCTCTTGGTAGGGAGCAAGGCGGAATTGAATTGATAGATTGGGACAGAAGTTTATTTTGCAGAGTACAGGTTGGCACTTCCCTTTGACTAGGGGTTCTTGGAGCTGAGTCCTTGTGTTTAGGATTTGTGTATCGTAAGGGTTATGGGTATTTTGTAAGTTGTAGTTTTTGTTCGTTTTTGGAAATAAGGTCTCGCTATGTAGTTCAGGCTGGCCTTGAACTATGTACTGGCCTTGGGGTGATCCTCCTGCCTCAGCCCTCCTGAGTGCTGGGATTACAGACACTGCCATTACACCCAGCTTAGTTGTCATTTAAGATGTAAGAGCATTTGTAAAGGCTTCACACTTGTTATCTTTAGAGGAAACCAGAAGATGAGAGTCCCCGCAAAGATGATGCAAAGAAAGCCAAACAAGAGCCGGAAGTCAATGGAGGCAGCGGGGATGCAGTCCCCAGTGGAAATGAAGTTTCGGAAAACATGGAGGAGGAGGTGGGCAGTGTGGCTGTGGCCACATCCCCTTGTTTTCAGGCCTGGGGAAAACAGCCTCCCCACATGCACGCTGCCCAGCTTGAAACTGATTGCATTGCTTGAATACAGCCCTCATAGAACAGTGGCGTGGTTATGCAGGTACCAGTTTGGCTTTGGAGTATACTAGATAGGTGCCACAGGTCCCCTCGGACAAAGGCTGTCAGTCATTTCTGCTGGATCTTTTCCATGAGGTGTATATTGTTAATTTTGCTAACCCTATTAGCAGAAAATTCAGCCTTCTACTTTGTGCCACTCCTCTCAGAATAGGGAGTAGTAAACAGCGCATTGGGGTTCTATGTCCACTTGCTCTGAAGGCTGCTTGTGTGTGTGTGCGATAAACAGTGGTTGCAACTGGGGTTGCTTATGCTCAAGCTTCATTTGTCTTCTAGGCTGAGAAACAGGCTGACAGCTGCACCACAGCAGAGGGCACAGTGGAGGCGGGGACTGCTGTCGAGACCACTGCATGTTGAGAGCAGGAACAGAGCGAGCCTTCCTCCCAGGGGAAAGTGTTTTTGTATATAATGTATTTTTTCACTTTTGGGGATTCTTTTTGTATAACTTCAATAAAGATGGTAAGCAAAGGTTGAGGCTTTGATGGTTTTTTTCTTAAATATTGGCTGAACCTGTGCCTTGGGGCACTCTGGGTTTATAAAGTGGCCAAAATTTTCTTGTTCCCTCTGTATTGATATGTCTTGCAAGTTGTAACCTCAGCTCCAGTCTAACATGGAGGTGATGATTTGCACATGTGGCCGTGGGCCCTTCATCTTCCATCGGTGCTATATTTCTGCTGTCACATACTTGACTGAACTCAGAAGTTTGCGAACTTTCAGTGGTGCTGTCTGTCCCCAGATGGGGGGATATACACAAGACTTGGTGAAGACCTTGCTGTGTGGTGCTGAAAATGGATGGTGGACTGACTATGAAGCAGACCTTGGGCGCTGCTTGTCTTCTGTTCACTCTGTCTCCATCTATGGCCATTATCTTGTCCTGGAAAGAATTGTGAAGAAAACTTGGGGCATGAGATTGAGGAAAATAGTTGGTGTAAAACTGGAAAAATGGGCTCTCTGGGAAAGAGGGTTGAGCATGACGGACACTTTTTGAATGGAAGAATCTGTGGAGGAGTCCTTTTTTTTTTTTTTTCCCTGTAAAGAAAGGTTGAACTATATCAACACTTGGAGTTGTTACTGTCTGCAGTTTTAAATTCTAAAAATATGCTAATAAAAATTCCTGGTCTGGAATTATGCCTAAAGCTTTTATTGTGGGATCCTGGGATGCTTGGATATGACGAGGGGTTAAAAAGCAAAAGGTGGCCTAGCAGTTCTGGGTGTGTATGGTGGTCAGTGCACTCATATCAGTGCTGTCCACTGGGTGCTCTCAGATGTCCAGGATACAGGCCTTGTGTTGAGAAAGGACCCTGAATTGGCCAAACACGCCTTCACTAGAACTTACTATTCTGGGCCAGGCAGTATTTGGATATGAATTCCAAAACAGTGCCTGCCTACTTGCTGTATGTAGCAGCAGGCTGCAAGCTGTTTTTAACAATTCACTGTTGACAACAGCTGTGTTGAACTTCAAGTTATATTTTAGTTTTCTTTTGTTCCTTCAAATTAAATAATACAAAGCCGAGCAGGGTGGCATACATCTGTAATCCCAGCACTTGGGAGGCTGAGGCAGGAGGATCGTTGTTGAGTTTGAGACCAGCATGGCTACAAGTGGTAACCTCAAGGCCAGCCTAAACTGCACAGCCACAGCCAGTCTCAAAAATAAGACCCAAAAAACAATACAAGAGAAAATGCCCTGGAGCGGGTCATTAACTCATACCTGCAGAATCTCGGGCTTATAAATGACTTACCTTCTTAAAGATGCCCTGTGTGGTCCTAAGGCTTTTTTCTTTTTTTAGGGGGTGGTCTGGTGTAAGACATGACATGGTTGACGCCCAGGCCCTGGACCTCTGTTGGTGACACTCGGATCTGGGCCTAGGCCCAATAGCATGTGACTGAATACTTGGCTGGAACATTATTGGTCTGAAGTCCTAGCTAAGAGTTCCACTTATGGGGGCACCAAGAATTGAGAGCCTGAATGAAAGGCTTCTGGGCAGAAGCCTTAAGGAAGCTGGGATTTGACTTAAGTTTGGCAGTAAAGCTGGTGTTAGCAAGATTTAGTCACCTTTCACAAAAACTGCCAATGTATATGTTTCATTGGAAAACAAGCACAGAAAGGTTAATACTTGAAGCGGTAAGGCTGTGTTTGGAGTTCATTGCTGTTTATTTGCCTCTTAGTCTCCAGGTCAGAACACGGAGTAAAGCTGTAGATTTGAGAATAAGCCTCACATTCACTTTGGCTGTGATGAGGGCCCAAACCCCTCATCTTTGTCCTTTATGCCATCAAATGGCTCTTCTGCAGGAGGTAGTGAATCAGTAAAGCCAACTTTAGGGGTGCAGGTGGTGGCTTCCAGTGAAGACGAAGTGGATACCTGTGGAACAGAAGGCAGGTCTTCAATAACAGCACAGGTTCTGGAGTTTGAACTTCCTGTGGACAAAATTAATGAAATCAAAGGGTGAGGTTAACTTGATTCTACCTTTATGTGTTAGACAATCAAGTGAGTTAACGCACAGAAAACATCTGGTAGGGACTGGCAAATGATGGTTAATAAAAGCTGGCCACAACTTAAACCATACCAACTATACTTGTGCTGTATGTAGCTTTAGCTAAGCCCTCACCAGTGGTGGGAACTGGTACTGGTGGGCGCAAGCTGGGTTGATCTCTGCCAACACCTGGACAGCTGCATCTCTCGCATTCACCAGCCGCAGAAAGAGCTCAGCCTGGCCTGCCTGGGAAGAGGGGCAGTGGTGCTTACTCCATCTGTACCTTGGGGCACACCCAGCCCCAGCCTGCATACTCACCTGGGGAATCCCATTCCGCCCAAGGTTGAGGCTGGAGTCCAGAGGAAGGGGCTGAAGTGGGAGGCGCCAGTGGCCACTTAGTACCCTCTGATCTTGATCGAATAGCGCCAGTGAGACCCAAGCCTTTGGCTGTGGTGTCCTAGCCCCTGGGAGCCCCTGCCAGGCCTGTAGCTCACAGACCAAGGACACCAAAGGTGATGGGGGCAATCTGTAGAACAACCCCAAAGAGGTATCAGAAGCTAGAGCCGAAATCCCTTCCCTAGTTAGGACTCTGCCCTTAGAACCAGTGGCACCTGTATACACACAAGAAAACAGAATGAGGGGCAAGCCTTAACTGGCCAAGAGCACCAAAGTTGTGAGCCCCTCCTACTGACCTGGGCACAGGCTGCCTGCTAGCAAGGATGGCACAGTTGCCTGTGGGCCCAGGAACTGAAGGTAGGGGTAAGCAGAGGGCTGGGGGCAATGCTGCGGCCCCTCCTGTATCCTGTCCATCTCGGGTCAAGGCAGTTACCAGCTGCACCCAAATCCAAGAAGCTTCAAGTCCTCGCAGGAAGTCATAGAAAATGACCAGGCCAGCCCTGATGGACACGAGTCTTAAGCACACAAAGAACAAACTTTCAGCCTCCCTCCACCCTGCCAGTTCCAACCGTAGCTCTCCTAGATCTCCTTAACCATCAGTAGTGGCCAAGTCAAAAAGGCTGTCCAAGGAGGGAGCAGGCCTCACCCAGGGTCATAGGGTGCAGGGCCCAGCACATCAGATGCAGGGAGAACAGATGTGTCCAGGCCCAGGCTCCTGGTTGTGGTTCCAGCGAGTAGTGGCTGTGGGAAAGAGGCGACTCCTCCAGAAAGCGTTCTAATGCCACATGCCTCCCCCAGATGCATAGAGCAGAGCTGCTGCTATTATCCCCGACTCCCCACCCCTCCAGGGTTCTCACAACCTTTTCCACACTGTGCAAGAAATGCAAGTTTGTGGAGCCTGGAAATGGTGACGACAGAGGACCTACTGGAGGGAGGAGTGGGGCATCTCCCCGCTGCAGGAGTCGTGGCTGCCCAGGCCCTAGGAACATTGGAAGAGTTAGGGATCCCTGTGCTGGTAACTGAGCCAAGTCACTGGACACACGCACACGCGCACACACACGGATATGTGTATGAATTTGAACTGACGGCACAAAACCGGGTCTCACTCATCACGCGGGAGCCCTCCACCCCTTTCTGGGCTGTTCGGAGCACTAAGCTAGGGGTGTGCACTTACCCCAGGGCTCCTGCCCCAAGCCCCTCTGCATCTGCAGTGCCAGGATTGCTGCCTCCAGGTACTGGTTTTCTGCTTCCAATACCAGAAGCTGCCCTGAGGCAGCACTTGCCTTTTCTGCGATGAACAGTAAGTCTGACCTGTCACCTTTGTCCTAAGCAGCTCTCTGGACAAACCTAGACTTAGCAGTTCAGATTCTAGCTAGTCACCCCAGGTTTCCAGCCTCCCAACTGCCCTCCCTTTTCTCTGCTGAGGACCAAGGCCACAGCCACTGAGAGGGCCTCTGGGTAGGCCTCTCCTGTTCACCCCTGTGGTTCCAAGTGCGCCGTAGCTCCAGTGCTGATGCCTCTGCTTGCAACTGCCATATTTTCCTCAGGACACCAGGGTCTCGACCTCCGCCTCGCATGTAAGCCTCATGTAGGGCCCTAGGGAGTACGTGTGTGGGAGACAGGAAATCTTAACAGAACTGATCAGCACTGTCCCATGCCTGTCGCGTAGCACGGCCCTCACCCAATCTCAGCAGCGAGGCTCCCCGCGCTAGCCTGCAGCACAGGACAGCAGAGCTCCGTGTTTGGCCAGGCACTCGACTGGATCCTGAGAGGAGATGGCGTCAGGGATGCTCAGCAGCCTGCTGCGGCCCTGCTTCCAAACGCTCCGCCAGGGTCTCACCCTATCTGGGGCTTCAGCTCTTGAACATGTGTCCCCAACATTTCTAGAGCTCCCCGGGTCCGACTGGCCTCTGCCCGGAGTTCTTGAAGTTCCCGCTCCAGGCCTAAGAGGTGGGGTACCTTGCCCTGGGCTCTGGCCAAAACTTGGTGGTGCTGATCCAGCTCTGAGGGATAATGGACCTAGTTAGATTTAGTGCAGCCTGGTGAAGAGGCAGTGCGGGGCCCTGGCTCCCCGTCCTCCCTCACCCGCTCTACGCTGCTCCAGGGCGCGGCCCAGTGCTTCTGTCTGGGCCATGCGCCTGGCATGAGTCGCGCGCAGTACCCGCAGCCGCTCGCCAGGACTCCCCGCAGCCTCGAAGGAACGGCGGTCTATTACCCACGGTCTCATTTCTTGTAGGGAAAGCCGCAAGCACTGCACCTGAGGGAACACTGACCTCTCACCAGTGGGTGGGGGCAATCTTTCCCTTGTACAATCCACATGTATGAGGGCAGAAGGTTCTAAATTTGTAGCCCTGGGGAAACAAGCAGGGTGGGTAGGCGGTTACCTCCTCTCTTAACCTCTCTAGGGCAGGTCTGCTGGCCTCCTGGTCTGAGTGGCCCTGGAGTTCTTGTGACACAGCCTGCAGACAGAGGTTAAGATGAGGAACCCTGAGTCCATGCTTGCTGCAATTCCCACCCCTGGCCACAGAGGTGCAGCCCCTTACCGCGATGCCCCCTGATGCAGCAGAGGGCTTTGTTCCAAGAGTCACCTCTGGGGTCAGGTGGCCAATGCAGAAACGCCGAGTATGGCTGGCCAACAGGGCCCAGGAGCGGAAAACCATGTCACAGGACCTGCAGGGCAGGAGCCCTGGCTCCCCAGAGGAGGCGGCCATGGGACAGGACTGCAGCAGGAGAAAGGGTAAGAAGCCTGGCCTATGGGGTCTAGAAGATCTTCAAGTTTATGTTTGGGGAGGAGCCTTGGCTCCCTGGGCAGCAACAACAGGCCTGGGCAGGTTAGGGGAATGGGTGGGGAGGCTGTGCCAGTTTGGAAGAAGCTAGGCTTGAAAGAGCCTAGCAACGTCTGTGCCACCTTGGCTTCCTTGCCTACGCAGAAAGGTGAGTGGATAATGCCTTCCAGTCTAGCTGCGCCATTAGGACTTACTCCACCTTTGGTCATTTAACAGCCTTTCACAGGCAAGGAGCATCTATTTCACTGCTGTACTCCAAAGCAGGTAACTACACACGAGTCCAGCGAACACCTGGGAGAGGTGACGTTCTGTCTGGAAACCATCTTTCCCCCAAAACGAAAAGCTTTCTTTATAACATGCCTCTCCTGAGGCAACCACAACCCCCTTTTCCTGCTAGGGACTGAATGAAGCTACATCTTAAGCTGTTCGTTCCTTTGTTCACTCATTCATCCATCACACCCGAGTTGCTCTGGCCAGGCTCAAAATTGCAATCTTTCTGCCACAGCCTTCTAAGTGCTGAGATTACAGGCGTGCACAACCATGCCCAGCTGCAATCGCCACTTCTGAACCACCAAGTCACCCTAGGAAGAGTAGTCTCTCCCTAACTCTCTTTCTGATTCATTTTTTTCAACTGCAAATGGGGGATAATCAGCACAGTCCAAGCAGTGAAAACTGTGAAGAGAACACAACGAATCCACTAGATGAGGGAATCAAGTCCAGAAAGGAATTCCTTCCCAAGGGTCAAGAAACCTGGTCAAATTACCCTCCACAACCCCAACTACCCCTTAAACAGGCATTTATTAAGTCATAAAGAAGCAAGAGGTCTGGACTGGCCCCATATCTCAAAGAAGCTCTCTTTTCTAAGCAAACCAGGGACCTAAGGTATTTCCTCTTATATAATATAAAAAGCCAAGGTAGGACCAGCAGCAAAAGTTAATGTTCCAAAGTATAGAATCTCAGCTCACCTTCATTCCAAAAGAGAAGGTTCTGAAAAGCTAGTAAATGGCAAAGCCCAAATCTCAATTTCACAAGCTTAATGTTTTTGCTATATTATTCTTAGTTCACTTTATATTTTTTTGTTTTTTAAAAAGACAGGGGTCTCACCATGTAGCTTCAGGTTGGCCTTGAACTCACAATCCTGCCTCAGTCTCCCAAGTGCTAGGGTTACAGGTGTGGACTGCAACACCCAGCCATTTCATTTATTTCAGGATGCATATTTTTCATATAATAATCGTGACATCAGGATTCACATTTAAGAGTATGTAACTGGCAAGTTTTCTCTTATTAGCATATAAATGTTTTCAAACAGATACTAAAGCTGGGTGTGGTGGCACACACCTGTAATCCCAACAATTTGGGAGCTTGAGGCAGAAGGATGGCAAGTTCAAATTTACCTGGACAATTTAGCAAGATCCAGCCTCAAAAACAAAAGGGTTGGGGATGTAGCTCAGTGGTACTGCACCCCTGGGTCTGATCCTCAGAACAAAAAAGGTCATCTTACATTCAATGAAGTATGTTTACATACATAAAATTTTTAGGGAGTGGTGGTGCTACTGGGCCTTTAAACTGACTTATATTCCCAGCTCTTTTTGCATTTTTTGCTTTGACAAATTGCTAAATTGCCCAAAGTCAGTTCAAACTTGTAATTCACCTGCCTCAGCCTCCTAGAGTGCTGAGATTACAGGTGTCCATCACTATACTCAGCTCCATAGTTAATTCTTAATGCTTCACCTCAACCGCTCTCACCAGTTTACACACGGACTGCTTATACTGTACCAGTAGCACTAACAAATATGTCTAACACCGACAGGATCTCTCTATCCATCATATATTATCTTTTTAAAAAAATTTGTCTTTTTGAGACAGGGTTTTGCTATATGGTTCAGACTGGCCTTGAACTTACTTTGTAGCTCAGGCTGGCCTCAAACTCATATAGATCTTCCTGCTGGGATTACAGGCGTGCACTATACCCAGCCACAAATAATCTTCCTAACATGCACTAAGGTCTACCACTCATCTACTTATTTCCCAGTAGAATATACAGCAATTGTGGCCCCCGTATCTATCAGGGACAAACTAATGTAGGGACAGCAAACATGTCAGTGTTCAGTGCCAGACATCCTTTTTTTTGTGTCTTTTTGAGACAGGGTCTCGCTATGCAGTTCAGGCTGGCCTTGAGCTCATTTTGGAGCCCAGGCTGGCCTTGAACTCTCAAAGATCCTCCTGCCTCAGCCTCCTGAGTGCTGGGATTACAGGTGTGCATCACCACGCCCAGCTCTGAGTGCTGGGATTATGGTTTCATCTTTTCTAATATACAACCATTTATTCTCCCCCCCAGTGGGCTGGTTACTCCTTGCGTTCTGAACCTTTCATAATGCATACGACATGCAATAGCAGCTTGGAAATTACAGAATGAAATAACCTGCTTCCTCCACTGGCCATCTAGCTAGCACTGGTTCAAGTCTTCCTCCTCAAAGTTCTTACTGAGTAGGAAAACTGAGGTACAGACCTTCCTTAACACATTCACATTTGGAAATACATATGTACGTAGGTACTGGAAAAATGGCTAAAGGAAAGAAAATTTAGTTTCTGACTATATCACTGATAATTTATTGCAAAGGATTTTCTGCATCAAAAAAGTATCTGCTAAGGCTGGTGACACAGCTCAGGGGTCAAGTGGTTGCTTAGCAAGCCTAGCGTCCCAGTATGGAGGGTATATAGCTCTGTAGGAGACAGGTGTGTCTGAATGCAGATTTCCCCCAAACCTAAAAACACTTCTGAAAAAGAATCCACCCTAATTTTAAGGAAAATATACTTCTTACACAGGACAATCCAAACTGATGCAAAATATTTATTCCAAGTTAGTTATTTTATGCAGTAGTTTTTCCCCTCAACAGACTTGTGATAACCACATCTTTTTAAATCTGTAAATAATGTTATCAAAATAATCTTAATCTTTGAAATCTCACAAAAATTTATATTTTACAATCCACCCTGAATATCAAGGCTGCAAGAATAACACATTTCCTATATCCAAATATTTTACAGCTGTACCCAAAAGGAAAACAAAAACAAAAAACCATATGCTTGGTTAAGGGCTAAAGTTACCCGAGCAGCCAAAAATAAAATAAAATATCCAAATTATTAGCATTAATTTAATACAATTATAACTTCAATAGTCACTTTGTCATTGACAATGATTGCTTGAGCACAGGGGTGAGTGCCCCAAGGGCTGGTAGTAGAAGCTGCTGCCACAGAGCAGCGTCCACTCCTCTCCGTCTCTGCACTGCCAGCTCCCACCTGTGCATCGCCCCGTAGGTTCTGTGTGTGTATTTTAAAAACCTTTCCCACCACACAAACATCTCTATTAAGCAGATAACAGGAAAGAACAACAACAAAAGCTCAACAAGCCAACTGCTCTCTCTTTGGGATATGATTATTTCCCTTGTGCATGAAGTATTCAACATAAGAAAAGGAAAAGGAAAACAACAATTTTTCTGTATATTCCCGAAACACACAAGCTGAGTTTACTGGTTCAGATGAGCGGCGAGCATTTCTCTGCCTACTTCCAGGCATCGTCATCTGATGTCTCACTGCTGCTCGTTTCGGTGTCTGAATCCTCAAACTCTGCTTTACAAGTGCTTCTCCAAGGGGAGAAGAGGCTCAAAGTGCGGCTCTGCAAGAAGCCATTTTTTGCAAAGCCGTTTCTTCTCAGCTGCAAGAGCATGGGAGAGACAGAAAACACCCATCAATGACAACACTGGCACGTGTACTTGGCAAGGCCAGGGCTCGTTCTGGAAACAGAACACTGTGTGGAGGGTCCCAAGATATTTTACAGCAGGGCTTTTTAAACTTTCATGTGCAAATGAGTCACATGAAATTGCTTTAAAGTGCAGGTTCTGATTCGGCATGAGATTTTCTGTTTCTAACAACAGTTCTGAGAGGTAAGGTCAGCTTGTATAGAACTTATCCAATGCCAGTTATGCTGTAGATGTTTGCAGCCAGAACTGTCAGGTCAGTGAGCTCTGCAAAAACTTCATTTGTCTTGCTCTCTGCTATAAACCCTACGATCTGGCAGTGTTTTATTCAGAGTAAAAATCCAAGTTTTTTGGTACAGTACTGGGACGGAACCTAGGGCCTCATTCAGCTACCACCCAAGGCCTTTGTATTTTGAGACAGGGTCTTTCTAAGTTGCCTAGTCCTGATTCAAATGTGTAATTCTCCTGCCTCAGCCTCTCAAGTACCTGGGATTACAGGTGTGTGCCGTCGCTCCTGGCTCAAGCATTTGCTGAATAAACTTTGGATGGGGCTTTGGACCTCTGCACTGGCCTAAACAGCACAAGGGAACTACAGGGTTCGAAGTAGAGGAAGGTGTACCTCTCTTTCTTAAAGACTGAGAGCTCATAATCCCAGTACTTGGGTGCTGAGGCATGAAAATCTCTAAGAGTCTGAGGACACTTGGGCTACATAAGGAATTCAAGGCCAGCCTGAACTACATAGAAACCCTGTCTCACAAATCAACCAACCGGGGGCTGGGGATTTAGTTCAGTGGCACAGCGCCTGCCTGGCAAGCACAAGGTTGTTAAGTTCGATTCCCGGTACCGGCAAAAAAACAAAACAAACAAACAAACAAAAAACCAAATCAACCAACCAACCAACCAACCAACCAACCAGCCAACCAGCCCCAAAACCAAAACCCCCAAAGACTGAGAACTCAGACTTTGGGACCAGCCTTGTGGTTCTGATAAAGGCTGAGAACTGTGGGGATGAATAAGTTAATTTCTGTAGTTTTGCTAGTAGTCACCAGTGTGGCTTGTTATCCATTAATGGAAACCCCTTACTGCCCAGGCAGAGCTCAGTGTCCTGTTCTATTTCTATCCTGGTGATTTACTTTACACTTTATTTTAAGGTCTTTTTCTCAGTTTAAACTTAAGGCTTCCTAATGGCAAGGACTGTCCAGACTCCTTTCTCTCCTAAGGGTTAAATGGTCTCGAAAGAAGGTTTACGACATACCTGCTCTGTCTTCATGTGGAACTCTTTGAGCTCATCCTCTGTGAGAGGAAGGCAATTCTCATCATTTTCAGGATATTCCTGCCATCCCATTGCTTTCAATAACCTGGTAGAGGCAAGACAGGCAAAGAAAATATAACACCAGTAAGTCCACGTGGGAAGCTTACCACTTTCCACAAAACACTTTCCTGTGCAGTGCAATGAATGTTAGAAAAGGAACCTCCTCAAGTGCTCATAAATGAATGGGAGATCTTCACACTGAGAAAAAAAGAGGTATGTGAAGAGGCAGTAGAAGCAGAAAACATGTTAGTGTAAGAAAAAGAACTGGGGGGGCTGGGGATTTAGCTCAGCGGCAAAGTGCCTGCCTGGCAAGCGCAAGGTCGTGAGTTCGGTTCCCGGTACCGGAAGGGAAAAAAAAAAAAGAACCAAATTATAATGGCTCTCAGTCTCATCATAATACAGGAAGAAATTTCACTTTTGTTTCCTGTGGGCAAGCATGTACCTAAGTTCTCTTTCAATTTCATGGCCTTTTGGCTTCTCTTTTAACCTCACAAATCCCTTTCAGAAGGTACTGCCTGCCCAGGGCTGGGGATTTAGCTCAGCGGCAAAATCGCCTGCTTGGCAAGCGCAAGGTCATGAGTTTGGTTCCTGGTACCGGAGAAAAACCAAAAAAAAAAAAAAAGAAGGTACTGCCATGCTTGGCAGGCCCTGCTCACCACCCAGTTGCCCAGAAAGATGGCTGCTCTGCGTAAGGCTTTAATTTAAACACCAGGTTCCCAAAATCAGGGTCTCAGGGTTCCTGACACTCATTTAAAGGGATGTTATGGTAACTACTCACTTGAGCAACACAATTGCCCCAGATAACAGGTTCTCCACTCCTCCTTTATGTCTCCCTGGAGCCATAAATGCAAACTACAGAGAAACTTTGCAGGGGAGATTGTGAAAAGCTGGCCAAGTTTGTGAGACAATGTCCAGAAGACAACAAGGGAAGCTAGGGTGCCCAGTGAGAAAGTTATGGTGCTTGTGGAAACATCACCCTGCAAGTCAGACTCTGCTTATGCTCTTACCTGT